GAGGCACGGCTATTACTGGCCGACCATTTTGAAAGATTGCATAGAATATGCGAAGGGATGTATCAAGTGTCAAATCTACGGCCACATACAAAGGGTACCGGCCGAAGCCCTCCACCCGGTTACCAAACCATGGCCGTTCAGAGGGTGGGCCTTGGATATCATCGGCAAAATCCATCCGGCTGCATCCAACCAACACGCATGGATTTTGGTGGCGACCGACTATTTCACCAAATGGGTCGAGGCCGAGTCCTATCGGTCAATATCCAGTGCACAGGTGGTCAAATTCTTTGAGAATCACATCGTCCACCGGTTCAGTATTCCAGAAACTATCACGGCCAATAACGGCCCAGTATTCGCATCGGCCGAGACACAGGAGTACACCGAGAAAATAGGGATCAAATTGATCCACTCAACACCTTACTACCCTCAATCTAACGGACAGGCCGAGGCAAGTAACAAAGTAATCAAGGGCATCCTTGAGAAGATGATCGAGGAAAAACCTAGGGCGTGGCACGACTTGCTCCCCGAAGCTCTTTGGGCTTACCGAATCTCGAAGCGGTCGGCCACGGGCACATCTCCTTACGCCTTAACCTACGGTCACAACGCCATCGTTCCAATGGAGTTAAAGGTTCAGTCTCTCCGTGTGGCCGAGCAGCCTGAACAAGAAAAGGGGGATTATGCACAAGCCATGGCTCAGGAGTTGGAAGATTTGGAGCAATCTAGACTCGACGCTTATAACCTCATGCAGGCACAGAAGCAAATGGCGGCGAGGGCTTACAACAAAAAGGTTAAACAAAAAGCTTTCGCCGAAGGCGACCTAGTATGGCGAGCCGTGCTTCCCATTGGGACAAAGGCCCCTCGGTTCAGCAAATTTTCGCCCAATTGGGAAGGGCCGTTCATTATCGAATGGATTCTTGGCCGAGGTGCATTTCAGTTAAAGGATAGGGATGGAGAGTGGCACAACTTACCGATCAATGGCCAGTATTTGAAGAAATACGCCCTGTCATTATGGGAGACGGCCGTGAAAGAGTTATGAATATTTACAAATGATGAAAGTGGAGTATGCAACACGACAAAGACGAATTAAAGGAAATCATACTTCATTTTGTTCATTTAATTTAAAAAGGGGGACACGTTTACAAAGAAACGGCCAGGTCATGGCCGAGTACAAACACACATAAGAAAAATCACACCCTAAATCTACGCGCTTCGGCTCCATGGTCTTCCTGCTAGACAATCGGACGCTTTCCCCCGAGGCAGGACCTCCGCCACCCATATCGTCATCAGCCACGGCCAGCCTAAAACCAGGGCTTCACTCCAGGCCATGGAAAGCGCAAGGGCCGTCACTCCGGCCACGGTAAGCGGCCGTCATTCAGAACACGAAAAGCAACTGCCACTCCGGCCATGGTAAGCAGTCGCCATTCCGGCAGTGGCAGCGGCCGTCGTTCAGGCTGTGGTAGCGGCCGTCACTCTGGCCATGGTAAGCGGTCGTCATTCTGGCTTTGGTAAGAACCATCACCCCGGCCATGATAAGGGCCGTCGTTCCGGCCAAGGAGATGACCGGGGCGCTCAGCCAAATAAACATGGCCACGTTGGAGTCATCATACCAGGTCCTCCCATTTTCATCAAACTGCCAAGTCATCTGGACCAGGCCAAATTGCCAGAGTAATAGAAAGAAGGCTGAGAAAGACTGGGGAAAGTCAGTGTGAACCTTCAGAGAACATGAACTCAGAGATTTTGGGAGTGTGAAAGAAAATGCGAAGGAGTTTGGGTTTTATACTGGCACTGGAGTTCAAAACACAGAAGTGTGATTCTCGAAAGATGAAACGGCCTGACAGCGCACTCAGAACACGCGAAGATATGACAGAAACTTAGCGGCCGACATTTCGATTAAGAATGATGGCTCGTGCGAATTAAGAGCGCGATGACGTGGCGAAAGTCCAGGGACCGTCATTTCACTTGACGAGGTGAGACGACGCCTCGAGTGAGCCTGGGCAATAATGACCTGCACGACGTGCTTAAGGCATTAAATGCGCCGACTGGCCTGCGCATTTAATGCCCCAGTTGTCAATCACTTCAGAAGGAATGCAAATGGTCCATCCCTTGGAATCCATTCGGCCCCTACCCATGCCGAGGCCGAAGAATCCAGGGATGTGGGGGCAATGTTTGTGCCTAATAAATCACGGCCATGAGCTG